AAGCGTAAACTCTTCAATGGACCTACCACGACAATGAAGTATAATGGGTGGATCATCCACAAGGTAGAGAAGTAGGTTGGAGGTACGTAAGTACCTCGGCAGTCGGGAGCGGGCGAGCACAAAATTCACAAACAAGCTGCGTTGGGCTTGGTTCATGTCTTGGAGGCATTGCCAAAAGAAGCCAATGTGCGGCGCCGTGGCGTCGACGCCTTCATACACTGTGATGCGTTGCAGCATGTCAATGTCTATGTCTGGGGATCCGCACACAAGCTCTTCAAACTGCGCAGGTGTAAACAACGTGCACAGCGCGTACGGCAGCACCGCCGCCATTCCTTCCATGAACGATACCAATTGCAACCGAATGGCATCGAGTTTGAGCGCTACGCTGTCGTCCACGAGCTGAGCCAACGTGGGGACGGTCAGCGTGTTCATTTTGTCCATGTGTGGGTTGCGGGGGGCTTGAGTCTACTCAGACCATGTGTCACTGTGTACTTTATTATCGAACGATATATAATGTACATACCACACGAAGCAAATACTCGACAACTTCGTCAGGGTCGAGCGCCTCCACTTCTGCGTCCCCCAGACATTCCAAGTCGTGCAGTTCGCGCATGAGCATCGTGTCCACGGCTCCCAGATCCTTTCGGTCGTTGGGCAACCCGACCAACGGCTTCCAAAATAGATCGGACAAGTTCAACGGCACCATGATGCGATGTCTCGTGGCCATGCCAATCAATTTGCCCAAAAATTTCAAGTGTGACGCGGTTCCGCTGACAACAAATTTGTCCTGGTTCATACCCCCCGCTGTCACTGCGTTTGGACACGGTATAAACAGCCTACCAAAGTAGAACAAATGGCGGGGGTTAACAGATATAATCCACTTGTAAATCTCCCAACACAAAAACACCACGAGAATCATATATATATATATGGTTGTGTGTTTACTCCAAACTGGAGCGGCGTGGAGAATGGATCGACACGTTCAACAAATGTACAGAAGGAAGTTATCGGCACAAGGATTTTGCCAATCAGATTGCTGGAAACAACCATCATCAACAACAGTTAAAATTAATGTGTGTGAATTCAATTAGGACTACTTTTTACATTGAAAATTCAGCTAAAAAAATCGATCGATTTGGCGAATCACACAACAGTTGTTCATATATTGGGTAAAAGGACAGGGTCGAGCGCCTCCACTTCTGCGTCCCCCAGACATTCCAAGTCGTGCAGTTCGCGCATGAGCATCGTGTCTACGGCACCCAGATCCTTTCGGTCAACAGCTTTCAAAACACCATAATGTGATGTCTCGTGGCCATGCCAATCAATTTGCCCAAAAAAGTGTGACGCGGTTCCGTTGACTATAAATTTGTCCTGGTTCATACCACCCGCTATCACAGCATTTGGACACGGTAGGACGAATGGGGGGTTAAATCAATGTGAATACCTTTCATACCTTTGAAACAAACAATCCAAGCAAGAAACCACGGTGTCACATATGGTTGTGTTTATATCCAAACTGGAGAAGCGACATGGAGAATGAATGCATCGACTCTTCCTACTGTACACAAGAATCATCGGCACAAGGATGTAGCCAACCAGGTTGCAGGAAACCATCATCAATATATAATTAGTTTGACTTTAAATTCGAGGGATCATCGCAATCACCACAAAACACCTTTTGATTAAACACCGATCGACCGATCTGGCGAATCATCAGCACACTAGTCCATATATTGGGTAAAAGGACAATAGCATGTTTGTA